CCCCCAAGCCCTCCACAGATCTGCCCCTGCTGTGGCTTTCCAGGTAGAGCTCAGCCTTCAGCATGTCTGCTCCTGTTAATCTCATTAGAAGGCTACCAGTTGCCATTGTGATGGCTGGCAGACCTGACTAAGACTAGGTTTGTCTAGAGAGAGGCCTGGGAGGGTCCGGCTGGTGGGGGTGTCGCTGCAACCTGTGCAGGGATCCCAGACAACTGGGGGATACCCTGGAGAAGTGGCTATGTCCATTATGCATACCTTCCCAGGGCCATACTCCACCCAGCCCTGTGGATGGAGGGACGTGCCTAGCAGAGATGTGGGTACAGATGGGCTGGGGATGCGCTGTGCTGGGCAACCCCACCCCTGTGGGGTCCTATCAGCAAGGAGGCCGGGTGAGGCCAGCAAAGCCGCCAATTACACAGAGCTCTGCAGGGGAGTGGGTGTTAGTGGGGATGGGGAGAAGGATTTTGTGCAGGGGTAGGGGGTGGTCCAGGAACAGGCCGTGTTGAGTAGGGGTTGCTCTGCCCATATACCAGGGGCGTGGGGCTGAGGCAGGGCTCTTTCAGTAAGACTTGTACTGGGTTCCCCCTTGACAGAGCCAGCGTCGACTCATCATCCGATTGACGCTCTCTGGCTGTAAGATCCCACAGGAGCTGATGGGCTTCCATCCCTGACATGACATGGCCTTTAGCCACCTGCTCCTGTGCAGGTCTCACGGGTCAAGTTCCAGGAGTGGGGTCCATGCCCCGCTTGGCCACCTCCAAGCTGGGCGCACCCACCACGCTGGGGTTTTCCCATCTGGAAAGCAGAATGTGCTGGGACCTCCCTAAAGGGCCTGTCTTGGGTTGAATTGTGTCTCCCCAGAAGATATATCCACATGCTCACCTCTGGAACCTGAGAATGTGACCTTATTTGGCAAGAAAGTCTTTGCCGACGTAATGAAGAGTCTGGAGCTGAGATCATTCTGGATGAAAGAGGGCCCTGCGTCCCGTGACTGGTATCATGTATTACAAGGGAAAGAAGGGGGGAAGATTTGAGACCCATACGTGGGGGGGAAGGCTGTGTGGAGACCGAGGCAGAGACTGGAGGGATGTGGCCACAAGTCAAGGGACGTCGGAGCAGCCAGAGGCTGGGAGAGGTGCGGGGAGAGGCCTCCCTCAGAGCCTCCAGGCAGAATCAAGCCTGCCCTCCCTTCAGTTCCAGAGTTCCAAAGTGCCTGTTGTAAGCCACCCAGTTTGGGGCAGTTTGTTCTGTTGGCCCCTGGGCTGTTGAATTGCTTCAGTGTGCTCACACTGGGCACAGGCTCTGAGCCTCAGGGACACTGGGGTGCCCCCTGTAATGTTGGGGTGGGGAGTTGGTGCACCGTTGGCCTCTGCGCCACTGACCCCTAGGGCCTGGTGCTGCTTGGTTGGTTTAAACCTGAGAGCAAGAGGGTTTGAGAGGCATGGAGTGAGAATGATCTGGAAAGATCTGGGGCTGCAGCAGGCTCGTGGAGGGCAAGGCCAGACACATGGCAGCACTTAGAGGGGTCTGGCATGACCAGCAGGGTGTGAGTCTTGGGTGTCTGCTGTAGGTGGGGACCAGGATGGGGACGGGGGACAGAGTCGTGGAGTAGGGCATCTCAGATGTGGTTTAGACAAGCCAGGAGGCCTCCCCTGAATAGGATCTGGCTCAGCCAGTGGTGCTGCACTGCTGTTTTTCCCTTAGTCTCGACCTGGTGAGGTAAGAGGGCAGCTTTTGGGGAAGCTGGGTAAGGGGCGCTGAATAACTTCACTCCACTACTTCCTGTAAATCCCAAACCTCCACAGTAAAAACTTCATTAAAAGGAAACAAGCAACAAAGCCAGAAGCTGATGTAATAGTGGCCCGGGGGCTGCTCCTTGGGCAGGGTGTCAGGGAGGCCCCTCCAGGGTGGGCATGGGGGAGGGCGTCTGTGGCCCTGATGCGGGGGCAGGGCCAGGGTGGCTGGAGGGAGCCTGGGGAGAGCAGCGGGCAGCGAGGCCACAGGGCAAGTGTGGGTGATGGAGCCCCCACCCGCTCTCAGTGTGGCCCTCTGAATCAGGTGGGGTTCACGGCCCCAGTCAGGGAGCTCAGACTCAGACCCTGGGCCTTCTGTCCCCAGGACTGCCCACTTCCCTGTCCGTGCCACCTCCTGCCAACAGCTGTGAGGACAGGCCTGGCTCAGATGCTGGGTTTGCAGAGCTCTTGGTGAGGTTGGTGGGGTGGGGGAGTGCCATTGGGGGGGCCACCGAGTGAGGACCACTTGGTAGAGGGACTGTGACCTGGCAGCAGGAAGAGATGTGAGCTTTAGTGTTCAGCAGCTCAGCAGACCGCCTGGTGGCACCATTGTGACCCCCTCCCTGGGGACTGTCTGAGGCAGCAGGTCTGTGGGCAGAACCCTAAGCTGGCACCTTCTCACCCCAGGATCCTGCTCCCAGGGGTTCCTGGCTGGCCTGGAAGGGCATCAGCTCCTGCAAGTTAGGGGTTCCCTAAGAACACCCTCACATCTGATACCAGCTGCAGAATCTGAGGGTTCGCAAGACCACCCTCAGTCAGGAGTTTACTGGGAGGACTCAGGACTCCTGAAACTGTCCTACTCAACGTTCCAGTTATTCCAGTGGGAGGACAGATTGCAGTCTGCCAAGGGAAGAGGTGCAGGGGGCGGTGTCCAGGGAATTCCACACAGGGATCTTCTGCTTGCTCCTCCCTGTGGAGTCATGTCAACAGCCCTTCTCCCAAGGCCAGTGTGTGACGACATGCATGGTGTACTGTCCACCATGGGTGCTCCCTGAGCTCGGTGTCCAGGACTTTCACTGGGGCTCACCTCATGCAGACACGTGTAGCTGCCTGCAGGTTTGACCTCCAACTCCAACTCCAGCCCCTGCAGAAGGCAAGCTGCTACCACGTGGCCCAAGACTCCCACTCCAAATCACACTGTTGGCGTAGATGACCCATTGTGACACAAGGCCCCAGGCAAAGACACCGGGCAGGATGTTCAGAGGCTTCCACCTCCCAGGAGCTGGAGACAAAGGCCAGACTTCTTGGGGCCAAGTTAATGCTTTCCTGTTCATTCCCATATGAAACCAGGGACCAGCTCGGGGTCCCCCAAAGGAAGAGCAGGGTCCCCACATGGCATCCAGTCCAGACCCAGAGGCCATGCCCCAAAGCCTGACAGTCCCATAGCGAAGTGTGTGTGGGTGGGGGGGTGGCAGTGAGAGGCCATCACCAGAGAGGAAGGCTCGAACAGAAGTGGGGCTGGTGTCGCAGCAGCCCAAGAACCACAAGCACCCTATGCACTGTCCCCAACACCAGGCTCCCTCTGGCTGGGAACGTAGCAGCTTTGCAGAGCGCTTGCTGGGCTGCTGGGGCTCCCACAGGCGAAGGGTCAGCCTGTGACCATGTGCATGTGGCATGAGCACTTCCTGTTTGTCATGCTGGCCCTTTGTGCCCATACTTGCCTGGATGACTCACTCTAGGGAGGGGGAAACTGAGGCCCAGAAGGGAGCTGTGGCACAATGAGGCTAGGACGCAAGGAGGCATGGGGGGCCTTGGGTCTTCAGTGACCAGTGCCAGGGCAGGGGTAGGGTCCCGCTCTGCTTGGCCTCCCCTCCCCTAGCTGGAGGCCGGCCTGCTTCATCCCACGTGGCTGTGGAAGGGACACAGTGGGGTGTTCAGAGTGAGTGTCCCTGGCCATTGGAGAGAGACCCTGGGCCAAGGCCCCACAGACACCCAAAAACCCCCCTTGAAGGAAGGAACAAGGTCAGTCTCCCTTCTGGCTCCACCGCAGCTCACAGGAAACAGCTGTTTACCTGGGTGAGGTGCTCAGCAGGGCCAGCGGCCAGTTCCTGAGCTTCACTTCTCCCTCCAGTGTCCGAGGCCCCCCAGGATGCTGGGGCCCCGCGTGGGAGAGCGGGGCGGTGCGGGCAGCCAGCTCATGGAGCGCTGCCAGGAGCTGTTTGTGAGGGAACGTGAGCCGGCCTTGTTGTGTACACAGAGTCGCCCCTAGCAACCGCCCCAGCCAGGGCCAAAGTTGACTCCCCCCTTCCTCCGTGTGCCCGGCGCCAGCCCTCAGGCATTGGGCCCGCCTCCCACCGTGTGGTGATGGGCCTTGCAGACCTGTGGCCCCAAGGGGTGCCGCCTGGTCAGGGGCAACTGCCCTTGTTCCCAGCAGAGTGGAATCAGCTGCTTGTGGGAGAAAATACTGGATCTGGTCTTGCTCCCAGGCAGCCATGGCTGGTCAGGGAGCCCGGGCTTCTGTTCCGAGGTCTGGCCCAGCAGGACAAGCCCTCATGTGAGTAATGGGTGGGCTGTTCAGGCGCACGGCCAACCCAGGGGAAGGTCCTCTACTGCGCCACCCCCGGCGAGGCTGGTGGGGTAGGCAGAAGGGGACTGGGGGCTTGGGCAGGACCCCTTGGAGCTCAGGCGGGGTCTGGCAGGCCCGCTTGCCTTGTATGCAGAGCAGGAGGGACCTTGCATTCTGCACTTTGAAAGCCAGCACTGTGCCTCTGAGCCGGCCCTCCAGTTCAGGCCATTGGAAAGATGATTTCTCCTGTGTCCAGGCATCAGTCTGCAGCCTCTGGCCCCCCGCCCCTGGAACCTGGGAATGCAGCCTTTGGCTGTGATATGAAATGGCTCCCCTGGGTAGGCGAGGGGCCTCCTCTGTGGGCTGCAGGCTCCAGGTCCATCCCATGCTCTAACTCATTCATGAACCGGCCCGTGGACCCGCCAGGTCAGCCAGCACGTCTCCTGCAGCTTTTGAAGGCAGACTCCTTCAGGGCGCACTGCTCTGCCTGGCGGGGGCACCTCGGGTTTCTGATTCTGCTGTTTGGGTGGAGAGACACCCGGCTTCTTTGAGAATCAGAGTCATGGGGTCCCCTACCCTCTGTGACTCATGCCACTGACCCCACCGCTTGGTTCCTTCCTGGGCCGCTGAGGGTGGCACTGCTCAGGGTGTACCTGGGGGGTCCCTGGCCCCTGCTGCAGCTGACGACTTCTCTCTTGCAGCTCCAGCTCCAGAAGTCACAGTACCTGCAGCTGGGCCCAAGCCGTGGCCAGTACTACGGCGGGTCCCTGCCCAACGTGAACCAGATCGGGAGTGGCACCGTGGATCTGCCCTTCCAGGTGAGCCCCTGTCCCCCTACACTTGCTCCTGCCTGGGGTGCGTGGCACTGCAGGCCCCACCTCGGCCATAGAGCAAGCAAGTGTGCGTGATGGTTGCTGTGGACAGCTGGGGTCACCAGACAGTTGCCGCAGCCCTCCCTGTCCCCACCTACTCCTTTCCAGCCCCCAGGGTGGCGTGCCCAGGCCTCTCTGGGATACTGCCCGCCTGCCCCTGTCAGCAGACTCTGCAGCAAGGCCGTGGTCTGGCTGAGAGCATTTCGGCAGCCGCTACACCTGTTGGCCGGCTGTGCGGCATCGGGAACCGCTCGGGGCCTCTGGGGCTTGGCTCCTTCCCGCCTCACTAATCCACAAGCCCAGCAATCCTCAGAAGGAGGCCCCGCGGCCTGACCCCACTTGTCTGCAAACGTTTCTTGGCAGAGACCCACACAGTGTGGCTCCCGCAGGCCGCACAGCCGCCGTGCACATCCTTATCATAAATAACAAGAGATAAGGTCCACCTCTGGATGTAGGGCTGGCCTCTTACCCCAGCCTGTGCCCCAACCCGGTCTGTAGGTGGAAACTGGGGCATGGTGGGCCAGGGAGCTAGGCCGAGAGCTGGGGCCACCCCCAGCATGATGTCTGGGCTCTTTGGGGACAGGTCCTGCATAGCCACATACCCCATTGCTGGGACAGTGTTCTGGAAACAGCCACTTCTGTCCACATGTGACAGACCAGGTGGAGCCTGCCAGTCCCAAAGATGAGCTCAGTCCCCCACCTGCCCACCTGAGTCACTCCTCCCTTCTTATTCCTCCCGTGCTGCCCTGGAACAGGGCAGGGCACCAGCCAGGGTTCCCCAGGCTGGTATGGGGTCCACTCAGCTGAGCTCTGCAGCCCTTGGGCCCCTCAGACCATGTTCCTCTGCACTGGGGCCCACCACACTGATCCTGGGTTGTTCCAAAAGCCTGACCTCTCTGTCAAGGCCCTGGGGTCCAGGTTTTCTCCCTGCCTCTCCCCTTCCTGTTTCCCCCATGCCCTCCTCCCTCGATCAGTGTCTGCCCAGGCATCCCTGAGCGTGGCCCTGCTTGGGGCTGTCATAGAGATCCCTTGGGCCGAGGGTGCACGGGGGCCCACCGGGGGGCCAGGCGAGGCAGGAGTGTCTCAAAGTCTCGGTTCTTTGCATTTGCAGCCCAGCGGATTTCTGGGGGAGGCCCTGGCAGCGGCTCCTGTCTCTCTGGTAAATGAGCCCCTGGGCTGAGGCCTGGGTGACCCTGGCACGTGCGTGGGCGCTGGGTATCCCTGTGTGGCCACACCCATGGCCCAGTGGGAGGTATCCTGTCTGTCAAATGGAAACAGATTTGCTCTACACCCCAACCCCAGCCGCCGCCCCATCTTGGGAAGTGCGTGTGGTCGCATCAAGAGACCCCTGTCAGGGCCATTGGAGCATGCACACCAATGCTGCATGGCTCATTTCTGTGACAAACGCACCCACACATACACACATGTGGAAGGATCCTAGATGCAGCCTCATGAGCCAGGCCTGAGCTTTTCTCTGCCTCTGGCTCTGCTTCTGCTGCCTGTTTCCCCTCTGGTCTCCCAGGGATACTTGGGAGGAGATGAACAGCCCCTGCCCTCTGGTGTTCCTTCCTGGACCCCAGAGTTCCCACCCTCCCTTGGTCCCTGCAGTTTCCTAGGCTCAAGGACTTTTGGAGGCAAAAGTGCAGAGAGACTGAAGTCACCAGGGTCCTTGCTGGGTCAGAGAGGCAGGGGTCCCCGGATGCTGGCCTGAACACCGGCCTAGGCATTAGGATGGGTAGGGAAGAGCAGCAATTCCAGCCAGTGGAGGTCTTCCAGAAGGAAATTGCTTTTTGCCCAGCTGCCCAGAGAAGACAGACAAGCCCAGGGGCCAGGGGATGCAGTGCCCAGAGGTAGCTAGGCCTGTCATAACCCAGTCAGATGGCAGGAGCCCTGGCTGGCAGGGCAGGCAGAGAGTGCAGGCTCCTGGGGTTTGGAAGGCCTGGCCGGGGGCCTCGTGCCAGCTCCAGGTGCTGGAAGGAAGCCCATCCAGCCAAGCCATGGGCCAGAGCTCTGAACAGTGCCTGCACTTGGCTCCCAGTGGTGCTGAGATAAGGTGGGGGAGGGCATGTGGGGGCTGCATCCTAGGACCTGGGCTCAGCAAGGAGCCTCCAGGAAGCCAGCCCTTGGCCAGGTGGGCCTCTCGACGTCCTCAGCCGGAAGCCCCAGGGCTGTCTCTTGGCAGGCCCCTCCAGGGATGACGTAGGTGGGGGGAGGAGGCCGGCCAGGCCTGGAGAGAGAAGGCGGAGGCCTGTCTGCACCTGGTGAGGCTAGGGGGCGCTGGGGCTGTCTGTACCCTGGCACTCCAGCCGGCGCTGGGCCCTGAGCTTGTGCCACTCTGCCTGGCTCGTGCATGCTAGCCACACTGCACGTCTTTCGCCTGGCATCCAGGGTCCCCAGCTCACTCCCACCCCACAGTGCTCGGAGGCTGGGGTCTGGGTCCACAGGAGGAAGCGCGTTGGGGCCACAGAGTGGCGGCCAGGGGTATTTTGGGTGTGGGGGACTCTGAGGTCAGATCATGGGGACACAGGCAGGTTGGATCTCAGGCCGCAGCTGATAACTGCTGTTTGGGTTTCTCTTTTTCCCTGTCTCCTTTTCCCTTCCCTTACCTTGCTGGCCCCCGCCCCATCCCAGACACCCTTCCAGTCCTCGGGACTGGACACCAGCCGGACTACCCGGCACCATGGGCTGGTGGACAGAGTGTATCGGGAGCGCGGCCGGCTTGGCTCCCCGCACCGCCGGCCCCTGTCAGTGGACAAACACGGACGGCAGATATCCTTTCCCCAGAGGACTTGGGCTGGGGGGCCAGGCCATGCTGGTGAATGATGGAGCCTCTCACTGCCCACTCTGGGGATGGGATTGGGGCCACCCCAGCCTTCCAGGGTTCCTGGGCTGCACCAAGAGTCAGGGCATAGCCACAGGGCAAACTTGGAGGACTTCCTGGAAGAGGCTGTGTGGCAAGCTGAGGAACTCTTGGCTACGCAGGGGCTGAGGGAGCACAGGGAACACGGACGAAGAGGTGGCCACTGGAGCCTGCAGCCCACAGTGAGAGTCAGCGAAGGTGAGGCCAGACCAGACGATGTTGGACGCCTGATTGGGCAGGAGGACCCAGGAAGGCTGTGAGCAGGGTGCCTGCACACTGGGGCCATGTGGGGGGCAGCCCAACTGAGGCAGTGCGGCTGAGGGAATCTGAGCCAGGCCCAGACATCTCTGAGGGAGGCTCCATCTAAACACAGAACTTGCCTCTGCTTCTCCGCCAAGCAGAGAGACTGTCAGGAGTTCCCCGACTTGGCCGCCCCTTGGTGTTCGGCCAGCCAGCCCCTCCCCATCACAGTCTGAGCAGCCGCTCCTGGGACCCCCCAGCTTTTAAGAACAGAGAAGCCTGTTCTTTCCTGGTTCTCATTTCCGTGGCTGGAGGAGCCCAAGCAGCTGGGCCCCAGACGGAGCACTTGGGCCCCAGGAGCTGCCCTGTCAGCCCAGAATTAAGAGTCAAGACCCGGGTCAGCTGAACTAGACTCCCCGCTGCCCCCCATGGGCCCTGGTTTCACAGCCGAGGCCCCTCTTGGAAGGGGTGTAGCTCACACGTGCGCTTGTAGGGGGTGAGTGCTGAGTGCTAGGTGGACAGGGCCGCACCCCGGGGGCCGCTCACAGCCAAGCAGGAAAAGCCCCCGCCCTGTGGCCCCAGCTGTTTGCAGGCTCCCAGCAGCCTGGCCTCCAGGTTCCAGGGCTGGGGTGGGGCCTGAGCCGACAGTGCGGTCCCCTTAACTCACACTCAAGCGGACAGCTGCCCCTATGGTGCTGTGTACCTCTCGCCGCCCGCGGACACCAGCTGGAGAAGGTCAGTGACCCAGAGTCAGCCCTTAGCCCTCACGTTGGAAACAAAACCAAACTTTTGTCGTGATTATACTTTAAAATGACAAAACTAAGAAGTATCCAGAAGTTTCTGGAAGTCAGCTCTACCCTGTAACACTGAGGTTACAGCTTTGGGGTCATCCATGGTTTTTCACCCCCATTTATGACTTTTTTCTTTTCTTTTTAAAGCAGAGTTAAAATTATTTTGGATATTCAGTGTTGTAACTTGCTTTTCTTTATTTTAATGCTATTTATACATGCTTTCCCACATTGTCAGTTACTGAAAATGTGATTATAAAAGTATTACACATTTATTACTTAATTAGGAAAGTATGTAAACATACCTAGAAGAGGAAAAGAAAAAGGAAAAATGTCTTTAAAAAGATTTAAAACAATAATAATATAGTTAATATAAATACCTACAATAGTACAGGTGATGGTTGCACACCAGTGTGAATACACAGTTTCACAGAAGTGTACACTGAAGAATGGTTAAATGGTAAGTTTTATGTTATGTATATTGTACCACACATGTAAAACCACATTAACAAATGCCAAAAATAGGGAAGCTGTTAAAAATTACATATATATGTGATACAATACGTGATACATAATCCAATAACAGAATTGAGTTCCCACCAGCCCCGAACCATGTATCAGCCTTACTTCAGCTATCATGCACATTAATGGATATAAAATGCAGAAGGTTTGGATAAGGTGCTGTTATTCTCCCCATTGTAGACATAAGGAAACTGAGCACAGATTGGTCAGAGTACTTGCTCAGGGACACACAGCTGGTAGGGGGTGTGGATCCTGACCGCTCCTCACTGCTCAGCTTGTCCCAAGGTCATAGACTCAGCCTGCCCATTCCTTTGTAACCTGCTCTTTTTCTCCTTGACCTAAGTTTCCTCCACATCACTCTCAGTGGCTGGGACGTCCCTGGTGGGTGTATGAGGCTCTTAACTCTTGCCCCCAAATTGCCAGTCATGCTGGACCCACCCTTTGCACATCTGCCCAGCACCCTCTTGGGTACCTATGATTTCCTGCATAGCTGAGGGGCTGTCCTGGGGACCTTCCCTCTAGGCATCTGCAGCTGGGGGCAGATTGGGTCACCCTATTCCCAGAGCAGAAGGCAGAACTAGAAGCATTTGGGGTGTTTGGAGCAAGACCCCACGTCCCCCACCATACCCCTATGGACTCCTCCCACCCTGAGAGGCTGCATTCCTTCTGGGACCTTCTTGAAGGTCCCTACGTTGTGGAGGGCAGGGTTGCCCATTGGTGTTTGTCACTGGGGATCCAGGCTGGGCCTCTGTGGGATTGTCATGCCCCTTTCTGGAGGGTTTCAGCAGGAAGGCACAGTCCTTTCCCCAAAGCTGAGAAGCCCATGGAGGGGCTGGTTAGAAATGGAGGGACAGCTCTGCTACAACTTTTTGTTTTTAACAGACTTTGCAGACAAAAGCCATCACCCATGTGGTTCCTTTGTCCTTAGGGTTTTGCTCAGGTGTAGTAGTTCACAGAAATGACCCACAACTTCTACCTAATCCCACTGTCATAGATTGAACAGGGCCAGGACTATCCCCTTGTCTCCTTTGGGCCCAAGGCTCACTGTCTGTCTCCTCTTCTCAGGACCAATTCTGACTCTGCCCTGCACCAGAGCACAATGACGCCCGCCCAGCCAGAGCCCTTTATGGGCGGGTCCCAGGATGCACACCAGAAGAGAGGTACTGGCAGTGCACATGGGTATCTTTCCTCGGGTCAGGCAAGTCCAGCAGGTGGCCTCTGTGCTGAGGTCATAAGCTTTGTCACGATGAACAGACCTGTGCAGAACAACAACTCACTGGATAAGGAGAGGGCTCAGGGAAACTTTCAGAGGTGGCAGTACTTGAGTTGGGTTTTGAAGAGCATGTAGGAGTTTTCTAGGCAGAGAAAATAGACATTGACTTCCATTCATGAATTCAGGGCATGGCCACACAGTCTGGGGGCTTTACAGTTACTTTCAGATGTAAGGGGCAGCAAGCCAGGCATAAATGACATTTATCAGCTCATGACTGAGCAGTTCAGAGCTAGGTGTTCAGCTTCAGGTGCAGCTGGATCCAGGGCATCACACTGGGCCATTTCCTGGCTCTTACCCCCAAGAAACTTCCTGATCCACAGCCCATCCTGACTACCATAAATGGGAAAGAGGCTGGTTTTTTCCCCCCAACTTTTGCCTGGAGCCTGCTCTCAGACTGAGCCATGAACACCCTGCAGCTGGGGCAGGTCTGTGCCCAAGCCCCCAGACCCTTCTCTGAGCCAGGCACATAGGCTGCGTCCCTGGGGCCTTCAAGGAGGGTGTGTGCTATCTTAAAGCCTGGGGAAGCATCACCCAGAGAGGGGAGCACCTTGCTAAATAAAGCCAGCTACTGGAGGCTCATTCAGGCCTGATCTGCCCCAAGACACTGAAACCAGAGAATTAACCACATGCATGCCACTGTCTGTGTTACTCTCAGATGGGCCTAGGCAGTGACAGGGTCAGGGGTTAGCCCAGCCACCTTCCCAACCCCCAGCCTGCCCTCTCCTACCCCAGGTTGCAAGGAGGAGCTGACCCATCTGGCTATGTTCACTATGGCTGTATTGTAAGAGAAAAACAGCCCCCAACAGGCCTAAAGAAAATGGGTCTCCTGAAGAAAATGTTTAAACTCACCATAACTGAGACATCCACGGAAAGGGGCCTTTGGCCATGGTGGGTGCCAGGGCCTCAAATGAAGCCCTTCCAGTCCCTTGGACCTGCCCTCTCCCCCACCTCTGGGGCTGGTTGGCAGTGCATCTAACTTGTGGGGCTGCAGCTACCACGGGGCGTTGGCCGACCTTGCCGACACTGAGTGTCATGGCCTGGGCCCCCGTGCTTGGTGCTGCCGGCCTGAGGCAGGGAGGCAAGTGTCCATGGAGTGAGGGGGCCGAGGAACCACACCCCAAGGTGGGGACAGGTTCTCGGCTGTTCGCTGCAGAGCTTTTATTCTCATTTCTTTCTTAAGTCACAGGTTCTCTGAATGATTTTTTAATTTTTTCTTCACTGAAACCCTTTTTCATACTTCAGTACAATCCCCAGGTGTTAATATTGGAGCAGTTACCTCAGATCACAGTTGTGACTCTGTCAGAGACGCGCCCTGTCCGTGCTGCCATGCAGCTGCAAAGAGATCCCTTCCCTGATTGTCCTTCTCCCCCCGGTCCTCTCCCCAGTCTTACTATTAACAGTCCCAGGAATGGAGGAGACCACGTCAGAGACAGACAAGAATCTCTCCAAGCAAGCATGGGACACCAAGAAGGTAAGGGCCTTCAAAAGCAGTTTCCTTCTCTTTTTTTTTTTTGTTTTGTTGTTGTTAAGGGTAGCCTGGGTGAAGATAGAGAAATAGCACATTGGGGAGCCTCACTCAGATTTGACCCATCACGAAGACCTTTTTTGCACTAAGGACAGGCTTGTTACAGTGGCAAAAAACCATGTGAGGAATTAAAACCCATGTTTGCTTCAGAAGCACATATACAAAAATTGGAACAGTACAGAGAAGATTAGCAGGGCCCCTGTGCACACAAATTCATGAGGCATTCATATATTTATGTATGGTGGCGGATGTTAACTAGACTTACTGTGGTAATCATTTCGCAATATATACAAATATTGAATCATCATGGTGTGTACCTGAAACTAACATAGTATTATATGTCAGTTATACATCAAAAAAAAAAAAAAAGTTGAGGCCAGGGAGGTGAAGTTATTTGCCTAAGGTTGGGAAGACACTTAGGTTTTAGAATTTACACCTCCTAATTCTAAGCCTGTGATCTTCCTACTAACCCACAATATTGAGTAATTATCATTGTTTATAACTGTTTACAGTCAGCCTTAAACATAAACTTCCATTCATTTGCATAGTAACTTTTATTTGTACAGCTTTTATTGGGGTGCGAAGTCTTGTTGGAATTTCCACTTGGATTGAGATTTCTGTATTATTTCCAGGTCCAGACACAAATTTCTCAAGTGTCAACCTATAAAAATATCTGTGATGGATAGAATTGATGCCATGAATGCATACTTAAAATAATGTGAATAGAACAAAATGCATTTAACACTAAAGCCATTTGAATATTTTTAAAAAAGAATTAAAATCCTTCCAGTCCCTCAGATGTCCCCTTTCCTCCGGTGAAAAGGTTAGCAACACCACTTGTTCATCTCCTCCAGGAAATCTTAGGGAGATGACATCGAGCCAACAGGGACGTGTTCCTCAAAGGTGTGTGTTCAGAGCTTTTGAAACCAACTGAAAACAACTTGGACGTTTGCCAGGATGGGATTTACAGTTGACCCTTGAGCAACACGAGTTTGAATTGTGCAGGTCCACTTAGCATGGGAATTTTCTTTTTCCATAAATTTATTGGAAAATCTTTTGGTGCTTTGTGACAATTTGAAAAAATGTTTTTTTTCTTTAGCTTATTTTATTCCTAGTATGAGGTGTATTATACATAGATCATATAAAAATATGTGCCCATCCGCTGTGTTTAATCAGCAAGACCTTTTGTCAGCAGTAGTCTATTAGTAGTTACATTTTGGGGGAAGCCAGAATTTATGCTTGGATTTTCAACTGTGCTAGGGGTCAGTGTCCCTAAGCCCTGTGTTGTTCAAGGTCCAGCTGCATAAGGAAATCATCCTCTGCTCCTCATGTGGAAAGCTCTGTGGTGGGGGGGGCTTTACTGAATTGCAAAGGCATGAGAGACACTTGTGATCATACTGCCCTATAGAGACAGCAGGATAAAGCTGTTCAGAAAAGCATAAAATGCATATAGTTGTATACGAACAGATGCTTGGATGTGTAGGACCAGGCCAAGGGGACACACACAAATGGGGTGCACCCTTTTCCACGGCAGGTGTGGGTGGCACTTTCGGCCCTTTATCTCTGTCTGCATGTCTGGTTTGGCACAAGGAACATATATGATTTTCCAACTCAGAGGGATAAAAAACACTTAAAAAGAATTCTACCAATCCAAACAAAGCGGAAAACTACCTGGAACATCTAGTTGCAGAGAAAAGGATCACAGGGGGTCCTTACAAGCAGGAATATAGTGCTGCCATAAAGAAAGTGAAGATGGTGCATGTCGGGGGAAACACCTCTGATACCCTTGGAGTGAGAAGAGAGGGTGGCAGAGCCTGGCTTCCTGGTGGAACTTCTTGGAACTACCATGCAAAGCAGTGCAAGGGTGCCCATAAAAGAATTCCATTGGGTTTCTTGGGTGCAGAGTGGTGGTGGGGTTGTTTGTGTGAATTTTTAATACTGTTTAGAAATTCCTTAGTATTTCTATAATGTTCATGGAATGCTTTTGAAAAGATTCTTTAGAAAGTCATTGTCAACGTGCTTTGCAAAAATGTGGTAATGAAGCGAGTGTTTACTCACAGAATTAAGGAACCCGTGGCCAAGTAGAAACCTGCAGAGGCTTAACGCCCTGGTGGCATGCTACCCCTCGGGCGCCCCAATCACTGCCAGCTGGGCGTCTACCCCTCCCTGGGTGTGCACAGTGAGGCGCGCCCACCTGCCACCTGGATGGAGCCACCCTCTTGTCTGATAATCCCTAAAGAACACATCAGCCCGAGGGCTGTGAGGCGGACGGACAGGGAGTTAAGGGATGTGGTACTGCTGGAGCCCGCCCTCAGCACGCGGCTCTGTCCCATCTTGTCTGCTGCCAGCAGAAGTGAGTTCTGACCTTTGTCCTTGAATGGGAGAGTCCAGGGCCCTGGAGTCTGCAGTTCTTTGGTGACAATAGTGTCTCCAACTCTCAGAGGAGGAAAGCCTGGCCTCGGTGCCTGCAGGGTTTCCCTGGTACCCCTTCCCAGGCCCACAGGGCTGCTGGAGTCTCATCCTTGGGTGGTGGGGACATAGAAGTGCACCCAGCCCTAGGGATCCCCATGGGGGCCACAGCTCCAGGGGATGGCTGGAAGGTGGGTCAGCTGGTGACACATAGCCCTGGGGTTTCTAGGTACAAAGAGTGGGCAGGCCACATTCTTCCCTAAGTTCCTGCCCTGACAAGGGTTGCCCTTCGGCTGTGCCCACCTTACTGAGCAGATGCAGCAAGTCTGGGAGGGGCCTGTTTCCAACCAAGGGCAGGGGCTGGGGTGGAGGTCATGGGGACCCATCTACATACCCTCTTGGTTTGTCCCTGGGTGTGCGTGAAGCAGGCTCCCACCTCACAGTGCTGTCCGCAGGATTCTGAGACCTGATAGATTGGCTCTCGTGGGGAGGACAGCCATGCTGTGAGGGCTTGCAAGTGTGTACGAGGAGACCCTCTCAGCCTCTGCTGTCTCTCTCTTTCAGACAGGGTCCAGGCCCAAGTCCTGCGAGGTCCCTGGAATCAAGTAAGTCTCAACAGGACCCACCCTGCATGCCCAAGGCTCCTGGGGGGCTGCTCAGGTGACCCCAAGGCTTCCCATCCACCATGAGGCTGCAACTCCCTATGAGAGGAGCATGTGCTGCTGGCGGCCACCCAGGAGGCCCTGCCTGGGGTGCTTACACCCCTCCCTGCCCGAGAGGAGAGAGCTCCCAGCCTCAGCCCTGGCATACCCACCCTGAGACACACCCTGTCCCTGGACAGCAGGGACACCCTCACCCCAGCCCCTGCCCATCCCACAGGGATAGCTGCTTTCTAAGATCCCCCTGGAGGCTTGGGCTGACATTGGCCAAGCACAGCAGCACCTAATCACTGGGGGTCATTTTGTGCCCACTCATTTTTTTCCTGCCAGCTCCCTCCCTGCCCTGCTGCAGCTTCTGGGGGGACAGGCTGGCCGAGGGCTCACCTCCCACTTCTGTCTGGCCTTTTCCCCCAGCATCTTTCCATCTGCCGACCAGGAGAACACTACAGCCCTGATCCCCGCCACCCACAACACAGGGGGCTCCCTGCCTGACCTGACCAACATCCACTTCCCCTCCCCCCTCCCAACCCCGCTGGACCCTGAGGAGCCCACCTTCCCTGCGCTCAGCAGCTCCAGCAGTACCGGCAACCTCGCGGCCAACCTGACACACCTGGGCATTGGTGGCGCTGGCCAGGGTAAGGCCGGGCCAGGTGTGGGTATTCCGTTCCTGCAGACTGACTGCCTAGTGAGGGTGACGTGTGTGTGAACAATGACTTAGGATGGTGACCTCCAAAATACCAGGAGTGGGGCTGGCGGGGGACCTAGTATGGGGGCTTGGCGCTTTCTGGCATTGCTCAGAAAAGACATCCTGGCCGAGGGCACAGCACAGCCTGGGCAAAGACCCAGGGGTGGGAAAGCTCCTGGTGTCCCCCGTGATGAGACTGTGGTGCTGAGAGGGTGCTGGGGGTTTCAGAGAGGGTGGGTGAGCCTAGAACATTTCTAGGAGGGGAGCCCCTGAGGGACTGACCCAGCTGGGGTGGGCCAGGCTTTCTTTCCCCTGTCCCTCCTCCCCAGTGCCTGACCAAGGGACAGGGCCAAGCCTCACCTGCTACTCCCACACTCCTTCCCATCCCCCGACTGACTGGCTACCTGCTTGGGACACTGCAGTCCAGGTCACATCTACTGCAACATTCCACAGGCACCTCACCCATCCTAATGGCTCCTGGCGCTGCCCCAGCCCTGCTCCCCTTGAGGGCCAGTGGCCCTCTACCCCGGTGTCTCAGGCCAGGGACCTTCGAGGTATTCCTGCTGATTCCTGTTCTCCTGCCCAACCCAACCTGTTGGCACCGCCCGCCATCAGGACCTGGCCCAGTATGGACACTCCCTACCCTGCAAGGTCTCCACCTTCTCCACCGAGAATGGTTGTCAGCTCACAGTCCGTCTCTGCTTGGGACCTTGCACGGCCCCTCAGCTTCCTCACAGTGAAAGCATGAGCCCCCTGGAGCTTCAGAGGTCCCCTACAGTGCTCCTGTGACCTCCTGTCCTCCCCCCTGCAGCGCTCCTACCCTCCCCCCACTGTCGTCTCTGCAGCTACTGAGCTCACCTCAGGGCCTTTGCATGGGCTGCTTCTCTCCTGCCTGGAATCTCTTTCCAGGCCGCTGCAGGGACCTCACCCTGTCCCTACTCATGCCTCCCCTGGTTCCAGCTCCCTGCCCACACCCTGGCCCCCAGCCCCTCACACTCCATTGCTTTCTGTACTCGCCCTGCCGCTTACTGAGACACCACTCTGCTCTTTCCTGTACCCTGGGACTTTCTCTCCCGTGTCCCTGGTGTGACTCCCAAGTCCCCACTGTGACCCCTGTACCCACGTTAACTGTGGGATGTGTGGGTTTGTATCCAGGGAGGAGGTGGGCCCCAGCAGCCCCATGGTGGGAAGGACAAGAGGGGCTGTGGGGGGACCCTCTGCGAGTCTCACGCATCAGGACTCTGAGGTTATGAGAGCCCTACTGAGCTCTCCGTGCTGCTCAGGAGCCCCAGAACAGGCCAACGCGCCCCCCGTCCATCTGCCTCCTCTGCCCCAAGCATGGGGGCAGTGCCACTTGGGGTTTTCTGAGACAGAATCGCATGCTGCAGTTCATGTCTGCCACAGCCCTCCTGGCCACCCAGGGGAACAGGCTGTCAGGAGGGGCGGCAGCGCCTGGACCAGGGCTGGACCCATTGGACACTGTAGAGAAATCTCCAAGTGCAACCGGCCAGCCTGGGAGCTGGGTTCTCACAGAGAACGGAGGAGTGTGAGGGGGCCCGGGTCATCCCTGGCTTTGGTGCCAACGGGGATGGAGTCCAGTGAGGCATGTTTAAGAATGTTCCTGGGTTTTTGGATAAGGGAATAGAAGCCAGAATAGTGCAGAAGAGGCAAGACCTGGTCTAATGGCATCAGGCCATGTTCTTGCTTCCACATGTTTGGCACTGTGCCCCCCAAGGCTCAGCCACTGGGCAGAGGGCACTAGCCCTGGCCGTGCTTCCCAGGGGTGCCCCAGAAGACAAGACAGGCAGGTTCAGGGGAGCCAGAGACCCACAGGCCCCCGAGACATGGCTGGGTGGGAAATACCTGTACTGGCCTGGGCAAAGCCAGAAATCAGAAGGGCAGCTCTGCCGCCCCTCATGCAGATGCCAATCCTGTCCCTGGTTTTCTCCCCACGTCTCACTGTGGCCTCCCCAGCACCACTCAGGGTCCTTGGCAGCCCCCCAGCGCCCCCTTGGGAGCTATGCACCTCCAGCCCACTCCAAGTCTAAACAAGCACAGGAAAGCACCACACATGTGAAAGCACGGACGGGATGAGCGCGGACCCTGAGCAGGGGAGCCCAGACGCTGGCCCTCCTGGCTCAGAGTGTCAGCCTGGTGAGGTCTGACATGTATGCGGTTGTTTGCAGACCTGCCGATCCAGCAGCTCGTCTGGCAGGGCTTTGTTTTCTGGGCACATTTTAAATCAAGCTGAGCCGCTGGCCCTTGGCACTCATGGAGATCAGCCCCCCAGCCCACCTGCCAGTCAGAACGTGAGCCCCAAGCTGAGGGAGAGGGAGGTGTCCCCGCCAGGGAGAGAGTGGCCTCTGTGATCTCCTTCCACATTTGCTGAGGTCGTTTTCCTGGCTTTTTTCCAAAACCCGGAGGAGGGCAGGCCTGGGTCCTCCTTCCTGGCACAGCTTTGGCCAGCCGGTCCTGCACACAAGGCTTGCATGCATTGGGCCAGGCCCCTGCCACCTGGTCTTCCTCGCCCTGGCAGCTCTCCCTGCCCTCCCTGGACGCCCTTCCAACTGGCCTTTTCCCAAAGGGCATCCAGGTCGCCAAAAGGAATTCAAGGGCAAGGCATTGAGGGGTTGTAGCCTCCCTGCGTGAGGCCAGGAGCTCACCCTGCATCCCAGCAGAGGCTTAAAAACACCCTTATATTCAGGGCAGATGTTAGAGGCCGGCAAATCCAGCCTAAGGGCCAATTCCAGCCCTCCATTGTATTTTATCTGGCCCACAATTGTGTATGTGATGCTTTGAGTCAACATTTAAAAATCAGGAGTGTGTGTGTAAAAATTTGGCTTTTCTGGCATCTCTTAAAAGAATCAGCTGTCCCAGGAGCAGTGGGTCGAGGTCCTGTGTCATGAAATGGTCCAGAACGCTCATTTGCCACAGGCCCCACCCACCCCTATCAGCCAGTGTCCCTCTCCATGTGGCAATTGCTTCTGATGCTCACCAGACGCTGACACCTGCTCCCTGGATGTTAACTTTTCCTCAGCCCTCTGGACACAGGAGGTGGTGGATGCTCAAGAGCAGGCAGGGCAGCAGCCCAGCATGCCGACTCCAAGTGTGCTCGGACTGGGCATCTCCTAGAATCCTTCCCAGGCCAGTTGGTAGTGCCCCCCTTGTCGTTGCTATGTGTGTAGCAGTCTGAGTCTGGGACCCACGGTCTGTGCAGAAATTGGATCCCAGGACTCAGCCTGGGGAGCAGTCGATGGTGCCAGGTCCCCCTGGAGTTCTGGGCCCACCTGAGCTCTCAGGGTGTCTGAGGGGAAGCACAGGCGTGACCAGGCTTGCCTTGCATGGATGACACAGCCCCAGCAAACAGCTGCCTGGCAAAGAGAAGGGTACCCCTCATCTCCCCGCAGTGCTCTCTGGGTGCATTCCTGTTGGGCTGCGAACCTGCTGTCTCACCTGCTGGAACCAGGTTGATCTGGTGCCCTTGGCGGTGGGGGGGCCCGGTTCCCCCAGCTGAGTCAGGCCCCTTCACCAGCCTTGACTGGGGGCCAGACTCTCTTAGAGCTTGCCTACAACCTAATCAGGACCTCGCGGTGAACTCGAGAGTGACTGTTATCTCCATGTCAAGGATGAAGAGACCAAGTCCGGGGAATCAGGCCAGGCCCCCAGGATTCCCCCTGGGCATGGTGGGGCCTGATGCCTCCAGGATCACCTGGCAGGCTCTCACTGCTGCTACACTGAACTTGACCTTGCTCAGCTCCATAACAGATGCACCCAGAAGAGGCTTGCTGGGGGAGGGAAGGGGCAATGCGGAGCCCTTCAGGCAGGAGCTCCATCAGGGATAAGGCTGTTGGAAGAAGATAAGGGTAACTAAGGTTGTAGCTCGGGCAGCCCAGCAGGGCTGACCCTCCAGTGTGGGAAGTGCATAAGGTCTGGGCAGAAGGATATGAGCTGACAGGGCAGGGGCTGCCAGAAATGCAGGTCTGGGGCTGAGAGGAAATCTGGCTGAAGGAACAGTTATGGGAACAGACATGTTCATCAAGGGAGGATGAGAGCAGGAGGCTGTCGATGAAACCACAGAATCAGGCAGGACTGAGCCACGTTAGGCAAAAAAAAAAAAAAGAGACTGATTATCTCCCCAAACCAGGAAGTGCCAGTGTGGCTGGACCCAGGGCTCATGTGCTACCTCTCCCCTCAGCTCCTGAATCCCCTGCTGACCCTTCCCTTGATGCCACAGGATTCTGGCCCCTGCTCCCCACCACACACACACACACACACACCTTTAGCCGTCCCCTTCTTGGAGTTCAACACACACACACACACACACACACACACACACACACACACACACAGCTTTAGCTGTCCCCTTGGAGTTCCCTTCTTGGAGTCACACACACACACACACACACACACACACACACACACACACACACACAGCTTTAGCTTTCCCCTTGGAGTTCCCTTCTTGGAGTCACACACACACACACCCCTTTAGCTGTCCCCTTGGAGTTCCAGCAAAAGTCCCAGGGCAGATTCTCATTGGGCCTGCCTGGTCACATGTCCATCTGGGGGCCACATGGCAGTAAAGAGAAGGCAGTACTGCAGGACACACCCCTCTTGGAGGGATGGCAGGATCAGCATTGGAGATGGGAAGTAGAGAGCCCATGCAGAGTCAGGGACCCCGAGTTCAGCATATTGGGGTTTTGGAAGGGGAGCCTCAGTTTGGCAATCAGGACACACCCCCTGGCTTCTGTCTGAGCAATTGGACTATAGCCAACAGTGACCACAGATGTGTGAGTGGGCCTCAGGAGGCCAGAGTCATGCCCACCCTCCCTCTAGCTCTGTCTCCCTTCCAGGGATGAGCACGCCGGGGTCCTCACCCCAGCACTGCCCGGCCGGTGTCAGCCCACTCTCCCTGAGCACGGAGGCCAGACTGCAGCAGGCCCAGCAGGTGTCACCCACCCTTTCTCAGCTGTCACCCATCTCTCAGGTGCGAGGGTGTAGTGGGGCATGGGAGGCTGGGAGGCTTCCTGATCCTTCCAGGGGGGCCTCAGAATCCAAAAAATATTCCCAACACTTTTGGCTTTCTGTCAAGTTTTCAAACACAGGAAATGCATTGATCAGTGGCCTGGAGTCTCCTGTCTGTGCAAGTGGGCATTCTTCGTAATGTTACTTTCTCTTGCCTTGGATCTAGTTGAAATTTTTCAAAACAAAATGTTCAGAGTTTTTTCAGTTTATCATAATTTCTCTTCGTCTGCTTCCTGGGTAGTTGTGTGTGTCGGTGGATCAGCCCTCTCCATCTAGGCCATCCAGCATGCCAGCGCGCAATTGTCCATAGCATTCTCTGATAATCTTTTTTGTTTCTGTGAAGTCAGTTGTGATGTTTCCTGCTTTCATTTCTGATTTTGGCAATTTGAGCCTTCTCTTTTTTACTTAATCAACATAGGCTCATATGATGAGTTAGGTGGTGTTCCCTTCCTCGTCTGTGTTTTGGAAGAGTTTGAGAACTTTGGTTAATTTAATTCTAATTTAATAATTAATTCTTTAAAGGTTTGGAAGACTTTACCAGTGAAGCTACCAGGCCTTAGCTTATCTCTTTGCTGGAAGGTGTTTGATTACTGATCCAATCTCCCTACTTGATACAGGTCTACTTAGATTTTCTGTGTCTTCTCAGATCAGTTTTGGCAGTTTGTGTGTTTCTAGGAATTTGTCCATTTTTGTCTATATCCCTAATAGGTAATGTTTTTGTTGCTAGTTCGTTAATAGAACCTTAATGACATTACCCACTTACAACAAAATTAACAGGCATTGCCTCATTCCTTACCGTGCCCAGCCTGGGCCTGGTTCCCCTCCATGCCTCCGTCTGCTCATACAGTTGTCTTGTTCACATCAGGATCTAGACAGAGCTGCAGGTGGCTCCTGGTGGCTGTGCCTTCAGCATTCCTGCCTGTGGCCCCTACCCCTTCTCCCCTGTCCCTTAGGCCTGCCTCTCTCTCTGGAGACTCTTTTGTTCAAGAACTACCCACTGCTTATTAGGGGCCAGGCATTCTGCCAAGTGTTGACATTCTGTAGCTCCTGTGCATATCCAGCTTCTTCCAAAGGCAGGAGCCCCTGCCTGCCCCAGGGGCTGCCTGTACAGGCTCATGAATGTTGAAAACATCTCACTGACCGGGAAAAACTTTTCCTCTTTCCAACTCTGAGAGGGCCCAAGCTGGTCATCACCAAATGGCCACATCACTGCCGTCATCACTTGTGCCCTTTCCAGTCTCCCCGGGGGGGCAGGCTGTGGGGTGGTAGTGGGGGGATCCCTTCCTCGTCCCCAGGACCCAGAGGGGCTAGGCTGTGACTGCCCAGAGTGTAGTGCCTTCTGCCAGCCCATGGGAAACATCCAGCCCAGAGAGGCCAAGGGCCTCCTGAGCCTCAGGGAGTACGGAGGGCAGTGCCTACCTCTTGGTATGTGGAAAAGCATAGAAAGTCTTGTTGAGTCCAGTTGCAGCCTAACCCTCCGGGGCCCTGGGAGAGGCTGCCCTCTCCAGGCTGGTGTTTCCCCCATCCAAGAGCTGGGCAACCCTCTGTTCATCCATCACATTGCTGTCTAGCATACCAGGCCATGGGGGGCCCCCGGGTGCTCATGGCTGGCCCCCAATGCCAAGCATGCCTTCCGCCTGATGCCCTCCTCTCTCTGCAGGCTGTGGCCATGGACGCCTTGTCTCTGGACCAGCAGCTGCCCTATACCTTCTTCACCCAGACGGGCTCCCAGCAACCGCCACCACCACAGCCCCAGCCTCCCCAACCACCACCGCCTGCGTCCCAGCAGCAGCCACCCCCACCGTCCCCGCAGGTGCCCGTCGGCCTCCCCCCGGGTGGCCCCCTGATGCCAAGCGCCAGCCTGACACGGGGGCCCCAGCTGCCCCCACTTGCGGTCACGGTACCGTCCTCTCTCCCCCAGTCCCCCCCAGAGAACCCGGGCCAGCCACCGATGGGGATCGACATTGCCTCGGTAAGTCCAGGGCAGGGTCCCATGGGACCTGGATGGGGGTCACACAGGAGGAGCCTGGGGGCTGTGGGAGTTCCCCGTCAGGCTCCCAAGACCCAGGACAGCTGGGCCTCCAACTGCATCTGCTGCCACCTCAAGGCTCCACTGACAGGCCGCCTTGGCCAGGGGTCAGGCCTAAAGCTCAGTGGGTGTTTTCTGCCTAGAATCCCAAGCTGAGGTGGTCACTCCATGTACAGATGGGAAGACTGAGGCACAAGCAGGGCTTACTTGCCCCAAGCTTCACCCAAGATGAGCCACCCCTTGTCTGCTGCCAAAGCCTCCCCTCTGGCCCTTGATGCCCCCTTCTCAGCCTCTCCCACCTGAAAGGGACTTCTTTGGAGGCAAGGAGAGCACAGAGCTCTGAGGGCTGGGGGAATGGACTTCTGGGAGCCAAAGGGTGAGTGGTGAGCCTGAGGGGGAAGGAGAGGCGAAGCTGGCCGTGTGGTTCGTGTGGCCCAGTGTCCTGGCTGGGGCTGCAGCTCAGACCACAGGAGGCCCTGCCGGGGCCCTGGCCCCAGGACCCAGACCATGCGACCCTTAGCCTGGAGCTGGGCTCAGAGGAATAAGTGCTAGGTTTTGACCTTTCCCCAAACCTTCCTGTTTGTTCAGACTTTCACTCTGGTTACCCTGATCACAAGAAGGTGGTCACAGCTACCATTGGCCATGTCCAGAGGCTCAGGGACTCATGTTTGGGGCCCAGCTTGGCAAGCCCTCTTCACTTGGCCCTTGGCTGCCAGCTCCAGAATAAACATCATCAGAACATCACGTTCTCTGCAAAGGAGGCCCCCCTGAGCTGGGAGGGGTAGGCAGGTCGATACCCAAATCTCATAGCTGCTCTGACCCTTTGGAGGGCAGGTCCAGGGGTCCCCCAGACAGAAAGTACCCAAGCCTTTCCTTTGGCAGAAATATAGTAGGTGTTGGGGTGGCAGTGATGGTGGGACACTCAGCTTCCTGATACCCTCCAGTGGCGGTGCCCATCCGTGGAGCTGGGTGGACATTGGAGGCATGGGTGTCTGGGCCAGGTGCATAGACAGCTCCTTCCCAGGCTCTCAGGCCAGGGCATCTGTTGCCTGGTAACCCCCGCCGCCCCAATGACTGCCAGCCCCTTGGAGCGCAGGCTCAGGCGGCCGCCTTCGAGAGGGTCGGCAGACTCACCCGAGCAGGAATATCCCTCTGGACGTTCTCCTCTTTCCCACTTTGAGAACGCCCAAGCTCGTTGTTGCTGAGTGACCAAGCTGGCACCTCTGAAACTCACCCTTGCTAATGAGCACTTACTGGCCCCTGGCTGCCGGGTCTCAGAGAACAATAGGCTCAGAGAGGATAGGCATCTTGCCTGGAGGCACACAGCAGGCCTTGGCCAGCTGGGACCAGAGCAGGGTCTAAATCCAGGTCCCTGCCCAGCCCCTCTTGCCCCGAGGGGCCTGGTGGGAAGCCAAGGCCATCTGTTCTTTGTGGAGGTCATAACCCCAAGCAAGGCCAGGCTAATGACTGCCTGGTTCTGGGAGCGCTGCAGTGTCCCAGCTGGCCTTCACCCAGCCCTCAAGATGGGCAGGACAGGGCTCAGAGAGCCAGAGGACCTGCCCAGAGTTGGCTGCAGAAGACAGTTGCCCACCTGCCCAGCCCTGGGTTTACCCTGCTTATGTGTGTGTGGGTGTGACATGAGGGTGTGTTCATGCCGGTGCTCTGAAGGCTGTCAAATTAAGGAGGACCTCCAGGTGGTTCTGTGAGGCTGGATTCTCCCACCGTAGCCACCCACCACCCAGGAACTGGGTTTGGGGGAAGGTCCTCATGAGGCCTTGGGTTCAGGCAGGGCTCAGGGTCCCACACATTCTACAGGCACCCCAGCTCTTCTACTTACCTGTGGGGTCGGGGTTCCGCGCGTGTGGGCGGGGGGTGCTAAGCGAGGAGCAGGAAGCAGGCCCGTGGCCCCGCCATGCACCGGACGTGTCTGCCGTCACAGGCGCCAGCTCTGCAGCAGTACCGCACCAGCGCCGGCTCCCCGGCCAACCAGTCTCCCACCTCGCCTGTCTCCAATCAAGGCTTCTCCCCTGGGAGTTCCCCACAAGTAAGGGACACCACCCCTCCCCTGAACCCTGCACTCCAGCCTTGCTTCGTGCCCTTGTGTGCCCCTGCCTGGCTGCCTGCCTGCCATCTGGGCCTCACGCCTCACTCCATCCCATTTCCTCCATCCCCCGGGGTGGGGCTGGGGTGGGTGGGGGAAGGAGAGGTGCTGTCCCAACAGGCCCTCCCGGGAGCCGCCATGTCTTCCCTGCACCTGTCTCACAGCCCCAACCGGTAGCGGCGGGCTCCTCACTCACACTAGTGACCTTAGTTTTGGTCGTACCCCAGCGTGTGCCTCCGAGCACATTCTGAGTGGTCCAAGTTCACGTCCTTACCTGTGTCCACCCACTGCCTGCCCAAGCCTGGATCTGCAAGGCTCCCAGAAGTGAATGTGCCCCCCAACAACTGCTTTGGGACACAGCTGAGGTGACATCTGGCCTGTGGGGGGGCTTCCGACTACTCAGCCTCATAGGAAAATGTGTTCCCCCCAGGAAGCTTTTCTGAGAGGCCAGCAGCCTCTCTGGGGTCCTTGTCCCTGTCCCGCAGGTGAGACAGGCTTGCCCCAGATCTCAGGAGATAGTCAGGACTTGACCACATCCGTCGCACTTGGGACCCCCCACACCAGGCACTATTAGAGCCCAGTCTCCGACACACACGCATGCACATGCTCAGCCGAGTTCCTCAGAATTCTGCTTAGCCTGGCTCAGCCCGTGGCCGCATTCCATCCAGAACATCCCATCAGAGGAGATGAAAGCCGGACCTGAAACTTCTCACTCTGAATTCCTCCCCAGGACCCTGACACTCTGTCCCTGAAATATCACTAAGCTGAGAAACTCCTAAGAGCCACCGTAGTGCTCGAGGTCCTGAAGGCTCCTTCTCAGCCAAGGGGATGATAGGACTTTCCTTCCCAGCCAGGGCAGGGAGAGGAGCCCTCCCACCAGACAGGGTCAAGCAGGCATGATGTCCCGGGGTATGTGCTCCGCTCTCCTTGTCTCCCCACATCTCAGATTTGCACCCTCTGAGTGGGGATTGGTAGGCATCTTGCTCAGGGCAGATCATGGCTGTCTGATAAAGGAGGGGCCCCCAGGCCACTTCTCCCCACCCTGGCAGCCTGGGGTCCTCCTGGGACCATCAGTGTGCAGCCTCATGCTCTGTAGGCACGTGGAGGAGGCAGCGGTAAGCTAGGGATGGGCCTTGGTCAGCCTGGGGTCTGCACGGTCTCAGTCCATCCATGCGGCTCTGAGCCCTCGCGGCCCCTGAAATGTGCCCAGTCTTCTTATGTAGCGTCGTGGGATGTGGTGGGGTACAGGGAGTTGGTCCAAGTGGAGAAGCCCTTTTTGCACGAGAGGCAGGACAGGAATCCAAGGGTCAGGCAGATTTCCTCAGGAGAAATTTGCCTGAACCAAAGTGGACCTGTCTGGACCAGGCAGGAAGCGTGTTGCTGTCTCGTCAAGCCTATGTCCATGTGTTGGTCTGTCCGCCCATCCTTCGTGTGCTGGCAAGGGAGGCAGGCGGCTGAAGCAGCTGTGGGTGCTTCAAAGGGTCAGGGGGCTTGCTCCAGGACAGACCATGGCGGCTGACACCAGACCTGGCTTCCCGCTGTAGCTGGGCCCCTGAGGAGCACCCGGCCGCACTGTGGGCCTGGCAGTGTCTCCCTCGGAGGCACAGGTAGCCCTGCAGGCCTCAGGGAGCTGGGACAGAGCCCTGTGTGCTGCCTCCCACCTTCCATTCGGAGCAGACCTCTCCGGCAGGTGCTCAGTGCAGCCTCACGAGAGCAGTCTGTCTGGGATCCCTGTGTAGCCTGAACCTCGCCGCAGCATCGTAGCCCCCTCTTCTGAACCTGAATCCGGCCATGATCACAGCAGAGGTGGCATTTTCACTGCACTGACTGTCATCCTTTCTGCTTTCAGCTCATTGATTGCCCAGAGCAGACTGTGGGCCGTGGCCAACCCCTCCCTGGGATGGAGGTCTAAGACTCAAGTTTTGGCAGTTGTCAGAGCATGTGGGGAACTTTCTAGGACAGGGAGCTCAAAGTGGGGAGGCCCAAGGCCTTTGGTCTGTGGACACTAGTAGCTGGTTGCATGCCGGACATGTGTGTTAGGCAGTCCATCCGGGAATGGCCGCGGTATAGGGACTTTTGGGAGCCACCCTCTCCTGCCAAGAAAGACAGACTCAGGATCCAGGCTGGGAATGTGTTTCCCAAGACCTGGCATCTCAGGTGTGGCCCGGCCACGCACTGGCTGTCCTTGTCTTCCCTTCCACGTCATGCTGGGATCTCTCCGGCCATCCCCCTGGGGGCCTCCTGGGAACGTGCAGGGGCTCTAAGCTCCTCTTCCTGGCACCTCCACTGCACATGAGGGTCTCCAGCCCCTGCTTCTCTCCAGGGATAGCCCTGTTCCTGGCTGGCCTTAACAGTGGGAATGGGGCTGCCTACTCACCCATGGGCCCCAGGGCCTTCTAGGCAGGCAGCTGCGGGCAGGTGGGTGGGCAGGGGCCTCTGTGTTTCTGTCCTGTACTCACTTGGCCCAAATCTGGGTCTGTGTGTCTCTCCTGCCCCAATGTGTGTGGCCTGCCACCCACATTGGTCCTGAGTCTCCCCAGGGGCCTGATAAGAGGTGCCAAACAATGTCCCACCCTGAATGCCCAGGGTGCCTCCCGCTTTAGCCCTGGTTACATGCTTTCCTCTGGGGTCCATCAGGTGGGGCTCTGCTATCTGTGGCTCCCCTTCCATCTGATGAAATGGGGTCACCCACATCTGAGCTCGAGGAGATGGGGGTTGGTGTTGGAGGGGATGGGGTGCAGAGACCCCCACCCCAGGAGCAGGTGGTGGAAAGCAGCCATCCTGGGCAGCAGCCATCTGCCCAGGCTCCAAGTGGTCTGGGCTCCCCTCCATCCTGGTGGGTGTGGGCTCTCCCGGGAGCCCTGAGATACACATTGTCTTCCTCCTTCAGCCTGGGCATCTCCAGAGAGGGCCCCAGGGCCTCCCTGTGGGCATGAGTGGCCTGTGGGAGGTCCCTCCTGTAGTCTCCGCGTCCCTCCCCATCTCGGGGACCGTGACGACAGCAGGCCTCTTTTCTGTCTACAGCACTCCTCCACCCTGGGCGGCGTGTTTGGGGACGCGTACTATGAGCAGCAGATGGCAGCCAGGCAGGCCAATGCTCTGTCCCACCAGGTGAGCGGGCGCCCGGGCCACAGCCCACTGCAGATGCTCGCCCGGAGCCCGCCCGCCACTCGGGTGTGAGCTTTGCTTCTAGGCCCCCTCCTGTCTGCAGGCGTTGGCGTAGACGGCTTGGCTTTGCCTCCCCCAGCGCCTGCACCTGGCTGGCAGAATGAGGCCCCCAGCAGAGGCAGGGGAAGGTGGGCAGTGAACACCAGCAGGAATCGGCAGTGGCTGTCACAGCAATATTTTGGCATGGGCCATGCATGTGGTTTTGACGGGGGGTTGAGCTGGCTTTGTGTGGAAGTTAAAGTCAGGGGCAGGCAGGCATGGGAGGGATGGGCCACAGCCTGGACTGGTCACTCACTACCCACCATCCACCCACCCATCCATCCATCCATCCACCCACCCATCCATCCAGCAAGACGCCAGGGCCATGTGCCCGCAGGCAGGAGGGTTTGGGGAGGTGAGGTCCCAAGGCAGAGGGACTGCTGAGCAGCATGGGCGCTGGGCGCCTGCAGAAGAGGTGGTCCCAGTGGTGCCAGAGTGGAACGGCCAATGGCAGCCAGGGGCTCAGTGGGCTACCTTCACGCTGTGCTTCCCTCCCAGCTGGAGCAGTTCAGCATGCTGGAGGGCGCCATCAGCTCCAGCAGCCTGTACAGCCCGGGCTCGACGCTCAGCTACTCTCAGGCGGCCATGATGGGCCTCGCGGGCAGCCCCGGGAGCCTGCCGGACACACAGCAGCTTGGCTACGCCAGCCACGGCAGCATCCCCAACATCATCCTCACAGGTGAGGCCCTGTGTACGGCATCCGGGGAGCTCTGCCATGGTGCCCCCCGGGGACCTGGCAGTTTCAGGGGGGATGGTGCCCCCACTCTGCAGGGTGAGTTCTCACAGCACTGAGGTGTCCCTGCCTTTGGCATGGGCCCAGGGAGGCCAGACACCACCTCCAGCCTTGACTCATGGCTCGGCTGTGGGACGCACACTGGACCCTGGACCAGGCGTCCAGCACTTTGTGAACGGGACAGAGGGGGCCACTCAGCAGCCCACACCTGCCACCCAGGCCCCTGACCCCTGTTAGCTGAGTGTGCTGGAGAGGCAGTGGACCCTGCCTGGTGGGGCTCATCACACGCAGCCCTAGAAGTAGCAGCTCATTGACAAGTGTCCCCATCGTGCCAAGGGTGTGCACGGCATATGTGAGGAAGTGTCTGCCCCACCTAATATTGACCCAGACCCAGTGTCTGTTCGTGTCTCCCCCACCCTGCCCCCATCCAGTGGGTTCTGGATTTTAGCCAAGAAAGAAGCAGTTTACTCATAAAACAGGGCTGTTGTGGGATTGAAGGTGACACCCCCAGGCGCTCCCCACTGACATCTCCAGGGTGGAGGGGTCCGTGCCCAGAGTGCCTGAGGCCTGGGCTCCAAGTGCAGACCCAGGGCTTTCTGCCCCCACAGGCCTGGGCAGTGCTCTGCTGCAGATGAGAGATTGGGTCCTTGTGAGTGCCCCAACAGCACAGAAAAAGGGGGAATTTCATACCCATTCCCCAGATCGAAAGACTGAGGCCCAAGGTCCCCCTGCAAACAGAAGTGGGAGCCCAGGTTTGAGCTGGGTCTCTGTGGGGTAATCCAGGGTTCCCTCCAACTCACAGCGGGGGCCTCCCAGTGCGCTTGCGCACACATGCTCCAGCTTGCTTCTCAGTGACGTGTGTGGAGGCCGCCTGGCAGAGCAGGAGATGCCCCTGCTCCCGCCAGGTCACACTGACATCGGTGCTGCAGCCCTCAGCTTGGGTTCCCAGCCTCAGCACCACTGGCATCTGGGGCTGGGGCTTTCTCTGGGGTGGGGCCATCCTGTGCACAGTGGGTGCTGAGCAGCACCCCTGGTTTCTACCCACCTGGAGCCAGTAGCACCCTCAACTAAAAATGCCATGCAGGTACAGGGTGTGGGGTCAGGGAACCAGGGCTGAGCTGAGACTTCTACCCATCCTGTCCCCCACTTCCCCCCAGTGACAGGAGAGTCCCCTCCCAGCCTCTCTAAAGAACTGACCAGCACACTGGCTGGGGTCGGAGATGTCAGCTTCGACTCGGACAACCAGTTCCCCCTGGATGAACTCAAGATTGACCCCCTGACCCTGGATGGACTGCACATGCTTAACGACCCTGACATGGTCCTGGCCGACCCGGCCACTGAGGACACCTTCCGGATGGACCGTCTGTGAGTGGCACGCCAGGTACACCGCCGCCCAGCCACCGGCTCCACTACTCAACCGGTCAGTGGTTCCAACGGCATCTCCCTGAGCCCTGGGACGGCCACACTGCGTCCATCGCCGACGGCCGAGCTTGTGATTCTGAGCTTGCAATGCCGCCAAGCGCCCCTGCCCACCCACCCCTGGCTGTCCACCTCCTGAGGGAGGCCACGCATGGCCCCCCGAGGACTCCCACTGCGCACGCGCTCTTGCCCTCTCGCCCTGGGCTGCCAGCTGTCCAGTTGGATGCGAAGCCCGTCGGGCAGAGCCGCTGGTCCGGGGTGGGGGGAGGTGGAGCGCCATGTGGCAGTGGTGGGCTGAGGGGCACTGTCCGACTGTTGTCCAGCTCTCACTGCCTTCCTCCCTCCCAGGCCCCCTCCCTGCCATCCCCAGCCCATGGGTAGGTAGAGAGCCAGCCCCACCTGCCGAGGGGAAAAGGTGCCAGAGAGAGGGGCGGACACAAAGCAAAATAAACACTATTTTGACTGCTGTCTTTTATATTTCTGAGCACACATATAGTGCTAGAGCCCGCCCCTCCGGGGTGGGATGCAAAGGTGTGAACTGAGCATGCCAAGCAGCTGAATCTTCCTGGGGCCCACACCCCGGCCTCACCACCCCAGCCCTGTCCCCTGGGACCATCTTTGCCCTGAACCCCCCGGCCGGGGCTCAGAGACGCATGCCGAGGCAGGGGTGCCTTTGGGGGGTCTCACAACTCGTTTTCATCTTCTCTGTACTGTGGTCACCATTATTTAAAGAATGGGGTGGGGAGGGAGTGGCTAGGGCATTTTTATTGTGTTTTTTTGTTTGTTTCTTTGGTTCGTATTTACATTTTGGTCATAGACAATGTGTAGCTGACTCCTTCAAGCCAACACTTGCCTGAGAGCATGTTTTTATTCCAGAAATCCTACATTACCTATTTTTTAAGCTAACTGGAAGCAGTCTGCCTGCCTGCCCAGGTCTGGGCTGCGTCTCAGCTCTTTTATTTAGGCCCCTAGTTATCTCAAAATGGCACGGGCCTTGCAGAGACTCTGGCAGAAGCTCAGGCGGCTCTGCCCCAGCTGAGTAAGACTCCAGGATAGGAGCCGCGGCTTCTCTTAAGGGCCTCTTGAAGACCTGGCTCTGCGCAGCCATCCCGAAGGTGCGGGGGCATCCCAGACCCTCAGGCTGTCCTCTGGCCGCCACCCTGAGACCCAACCAAGATTTGTCCCCTTGGGGCATGTCTTTGCTGTCTCCACCGGGTAGGCCTGGCTTTGTAGGCAAAGGGCAGTGGGGGCTTTAGCTGTGGCTTTCCAGGTGCTTCTGAAGTGCCTCCAGAGGCCGAGGTGACTGTCCGGGCTTGTCCTGCAGGCTAGGGGCCACCTGGGGGCTTCGTCTCGCGTTGGCTACTTTGGAATGGAACCTTTATTTCAAACCGCGTCTCCACCTCCCGCTCGCTCCTCTGCCTGCCAGCAGGCACCCCCTGCTTGGTGCATTTCTCTGGTGTCTCAGCCACCACCTCCACCAGGGTCTTGGGAGCCTCTGCTTCATCTGTGGGAGCCAGATACGATCCTAGCGAGTCTCTTCATCTTGTCCCCTGGCCAGGCTGTTAGCAGGTGGCCAAGTGACGGGACAGCCACAGGTGTGAGAAGCGCCCCTGTTCAGTCACTTGGCCCCCCTGCCATCGCCTGGGCTGGAGGGTACAGTGCCATCCATCCAGGCTCAGGGCCATCCTCTTACTGTGGTGGGGGCTGGGGGCAGAGAGTGGGACTTTTTTTTTTCAAAGAAAAACTATGTGTACATAGAAGAGTTTGATTACCATTATACCTGTATGTAGAACTTTTAAAAAAATGGCCTTAATAAAATTATAAGCAACCTTCCTGGATGCAATTTTCAAACAAGGCGTTGAGCACCCCATGAGGGAGTCTGCCCAGCGCCAGGTTCTGGGTGCAGATGGGCAGGAGGCAGTGGCATCAGGCTCCAAGGCCCGTTGCCAGTGTCCCTTGGCTAGGAGCACAGGTGACATTGTATTAGCACGATGGCCTTGACCCAGGAGGGGCACAGGTGCCGAGCTTTCCTGGGGAGCAGGGCCCAGCCAGGAGCCAGCAGCCAGGGGTTCCAGGGTCCCCGAAGGGTTCACACCCCTGCTTAGGTCTGCAAAGGCCTCCTGGGGTGCGACAGATTTTATTTATTTCTTGCATATCACTTCTCTACTAAATATTCTTAAATTGCCAAGATTTTCTGAAACAAGACAGCCTAAGGGAATCAGTCTTTTGACTTGGTCACATGAAAATGCTGTGCGTTTAGGCGAGCTGCTCCGTGAGGAATGGGCCGGGGCCCCCAGGCCGTGTATATAGACCCACAGCCTGCAGCCTCGGTCCTCGCCTGCTTGGAGCGGGCCTGGGCACTCAGCCCACGTGGGACCAGAGGCCAGGCTGTCCCCGAGTGCTCCCGGCTTCAGCTGAGCCCACTCAACTGCGTAAACCTGACCTTTGGGAGCACGAGCTGACTCAGCGTGGCCCCCGCCGGCCTCAGTTTACCTCAGAGGCCCCAGGGTGGTGAGTTTCTTACCCCTCGAGGTTCGTGGAGCCCGGGGTCTGCCCCTCTCCGTGTCTGCCTGAGAAGAGGGTTTAGGCCCCTGCTTCCCTGTCCCCTCTCCCCCCACCGCCTGTCACAGCGGCCAGGGTTGGTGTGGAAGGGAAGGGATCCCACAGGGGTCATGGCCCCTATCATAAGGACCCTACGTTGACCTTCCTCCCCACTGTCCCCACATGCCCTGCTTCCTCTCATCGTTTTTCTGGGTAGGAAGGATGGATACCAGGGCCCTGGGGAGGGGATCCCTGAGCCCCTCAGTGGAAAGCTCGCGGACAGGCTGATCCTTCAACAAATTTCGGGCAGCATCCAAAGCCCAGCCAGGCCCCTGTTGGCTTGCGCCCCGGTAGAAATGGCCCTGGTCGGGTTGGCCCCGCTCCCACCCCCTCTGCAGCCCACAGGGCTCCCTCAAGCATGTGTTTGTGGGCCTTTCCCTGGTGAGGCCTCCATGCAGACCTCCTGCCCCCCCTGGGGGCCTCCGGGCCGCTGGCCTGCCCAGGGGGTGTGCTCTGGGGGCAGGGCCTGCCTTTGTAGTCTCCGTTTGCTGTTGTCTACGTGGTGTTTGGGGCTTGGAAGGAGGGTTCTGACATAATCTGTATTTGGCTTGATTTCTTTGGGCCCCCAGCTCCCAGGAGGACGCTCAGCTGGGCAAGCCCTGTTGTGAGGCCCATGTGTCACAGGGCATGGGCAAGGGCAGCCGTCTGCCTCTCGAGTGCTATGAGACCCCCCGGTGGAGGGTGAGAGGCCCCGTGTTGGTCTATCCATCCATCCTGCCAGGGGCAGATGTCCAGTTTGGGGCTGCAGCCTGGTCAGGCAGGTGTAAGGCCCATGGGGGTGGGGCTCAGGCAGCAGGGGTTGCCCCTGCATCCAGCATCCTGGGCATGGCACACCTGTGAGCCGTCATCTGCAGAGGGACTGCCTGGGAGCTGAGGGCACCTGGGAACATTCCCCCCTTCCTAGACCTACATCTCCACCAACCCTGACATGTCTCATAACCAAACATCCTTCCAAACTCCCACCCACAATTAGATTGTGAGTTTTCTGCATTTCCAAAGAAGGCGTTCCCACCCCCGGTACAGGCCTGGAGTATCGGGGAGCCCTCCACCCCACCTCTGGCCCTGACAAAGCGGCATCACCCTCACTGGGTCCTAACGGAGCCAAAGTCAGACACCGTGGGGCCTCAGTGAGGGGATGGGGCAGGGCGACCCGAACGTCAAGGGTACCCAGCGACCCTGGTCCTGTTCTGTCACCCCTGCAGGTGGTGCCCTGGGTGAGGGAGCTGTGGTCACTGGAGCCCTCCCCAGGAGACCTGCCTGGGCAGGCTGAGCAGCCCAGAGTCCTTGTCTGCCCCTGCCCCCCGGGGAACACTGAGCCCCCTTCCTGGGGGTCTCTCAGGGTGTGGCTAGGGGTCCCTGGAATGTTCCTCCATCAGGCCCTGCCCAGGCTCCCCTCGGCCTCCAGGGGGTCTGGCTAGGTGGGATCAGGGACTTCTCCGAACCCTGGGTGTGGCTCAGGCAACTGACCCCAGACACAGCTCCCCAACAACCCACAGCAGGGAAGTGGGGCGACGTGCATCCCCAGGCCTGGTCGCTGGGATACTCCTGAGGGCATGGAGGATGGGAACAAGACCCTTGGGCCTGGGCCTCAGTTTCCCTCTTGTCCCTGGATCAGACCTGCGGGTGTCAGGGCCCCAGGCTCCTCCCGGGATGGGCTGGGGGTGGGGGCTGGGTGGCAGGGAGATGCCAGCCCCAGTTTCCTCTGCCTCCCATGCTCCCCACAAGCCCCAGAGCCCTTTTCTGAGGAGGCAGGGCCGCGTGGCCACATGGGGGTAAAGGTCTTGCAGAGACCTGGCGTTTGGGGGCAGCTGACGCCCAGCCCATCCTAGCTGGTCACTTCTGGCCTCCTGCCCACGGGGACCAGGGGCCAAAGCTCTCCACCAGGCCATGGGAAGGAGGGTTTTGTGAGCCAAGGTCCAGGGGCCTCGGCCGTGCCCTGCCTCTTGTAGGAGACTGCCCCTGCTCCAGGGGCTGGGCGCCACCACTTACATATGCAAAGCCGCCAGCCTGAGCCCTGCCCCGCCTGTGTCCCTTTGCCCCCAGGCTGGCTCTGCCCACCCCCCCAGCATGTACACTCTGCTGTGGATGTCCCGTGCGCCGTGGGTGTGGGCGCCCACGGCGGGTGGGGGCGGGCGGCTCAGGGTGCACTAGGCCAGCCCCTGCCCATCCTCTCTGGTGTGGACCCTTGTGTCTTTGTATCTTTGCATCCTTTGTAATGAAATGTAATAAAAATCCAGTGTTTTTGCCTCGGCCTCCTCCCCTTTTTTCTGCCTCCCCCGCAACACCTTATCCCCAGATGAAATGTGGGCGCGGCTGGTGCACCAGGCAGGAGCCACACACACACTCATAGACAGGGACACCCCTGCCCCCAGCCAGCTACTCAAGCCTGGTGCCTGGAACGGAGGTACCCGCTCCTCAAGATCCTGGGGTACGCACTCCAAGGTGGGGACGGGGAGGTCCAGGCCTGAGACCATGGGTGTGTGGCATGCGGCGGCAGCAGGCCTGGGGCCTCGCAAATCAGGATATTCCTGGTCAGTCTGCTGAGCCCCAGACCGAAGGGGGGTCAGCCATAGGTCCCCACTCTCCAACGCCTGGGTTTGGAGTTCCTGGCCCAGCCCTCCCTCAGATGCCCAACCCTGCCTTCTCCCTGCAGCAGAGGCCACAGGTGGCTGCCCCACGGCACACACACTTTATTTTGTCCTCTCTGAGACCCTTTGCCTTCCCCTCCACACAACGGTCGCTCCTCAGGGCTGGGAGCTGAGTTCCCAGCCTGCCACAGTGAAGGCAGCTGTCTTCCAGGGGCCCGTCCCTACGCCTGTCCCTAGGCCTGCAGCAGCCGCTGGGTCTCGTAGTCCTCGGGGATGGTGTCTGCAAAGAGAGGGTGGGCCGGTGAGGCGGGGTGAGGTTGGGTGAGGCAGACTCCCCACTCCCTGGCAGGAGGGTCCCTCACCGTTGCAACGGTATCGCAGATTGGCCCAGATGATGTTCTCCTGGGAAAAGCAGAAGACCCCCAGGCGGCCACCCCGCATGGTCGTGTCCAAGACCACGTTGCTGTCAGCCACCAGCTCGGAGCCCTCATAGAACCGCACTCTGCAGGGAGGAGGGGACAATATGGCAGTGCGCTCCCCTCTCAGAGCTGTAGCACCCTGCCCAGGAAACAGGTCCCCTCCTCTCTGAGAAGGGGGACCACGTGTCCCCTGTGCCTGGGCCACACTCTGTGCAGCTGGGGCTCTTAGGTGAGGGGATGGACATCCAGGGTCCTGCACAGAATCAACAGGTGTTAACAGAGCACCTGGGCTTCTTGGCAGCACAGAGTGAGGATTGAGAAATGGGGCTGGGTGAGGTCCCACCCTCCAACTGAGGACCCTCTGTGTGCTGGCTCTTAGGAGGGCATCAGTTCATTCTAACTGCCCGTTTTAGAGAGAAGTGGACTGAGGTCCCCTGAGCCACCCCTCTTCCCTCAGGGAAGCAGGATACAAGGGACGCCTGGGCCATTGGCAGGGGGCAGGGTCCCTACCTGATGTAGCCCACTTGGGGCCGGTGCTGCAGGAACCAGCGGTAAGATGTCTTGTCCTTCCAGCCCACATTTCGGGGGTCCTTCCACAGCAGCCGCACCTGTGATGCTGTGTCCCCTGTGTGCCACAGAGCATTCCGCAGCTGCTCCCCAGGGCCTGTGGAAGACTTCACCACCTGCCATGCCCCAGGGACAGGGGAAAGGGGTCAGACACCATGCCGGTCACTGGAGCCCCCATGGACCCTGCCCAGTAGTGACAGGTGGGGAGCTGCAGGCAGCAGAGGAGTGGTGGGGGGCCCCAGGGAGCCCAGGTGGCAGACCAATAAGGAAGCCACCTTGGGCGGGCAAGTGGAGTTTGCAGATGGATTGTTGGGGGCAGTAGTGGTCTGGGAGCTCACGGACAGGTTAGGGGCTGAGAGGACTTGGGGTGGGGTTCTGCAGGAGAATTTAGTGATCCATATAGAAAGTTTTGGGTGTTCATGGCATAAACTGGAGTCCGGTGAAATTGGGGGATTTCTTAGGGGGCTTCAGTGGCATGGTACGGTCTAGGGGTTCTGCAGGAGGATTTGGAACCCCCAAAAGATTTAGATCTCCGTGAGAGTTTCAGGGCTCAAAGGAAGATTGCGGGCACTGCGGGAGGGTTTGAGGACCTGGGGAAGTCCGGGGGAAGAATGCAAGTGGTCAGAAGAATGGTGCTGGCGACTAGAAGACTTGGGGGGTTGTCTGTGGAAGGGTTTGGGGGAGCCAGAGGTCCACTAGGCCCCAGACACCTTAAGCTGAATGCCAGGTTCAGCCACTGCGCGGAAGGGGTTCGCCTGCCAGTACGTTTGCTCCATCTGCTTCCACATGACCACGTAGAAGCTGGAGCTGTCCTGGTAGCCAAAGATGAAGCCCGCGTAGTCGTCGTCGGTGACTGTGTTCACGTGGAACGTGCCTTCGAAGTCCACGCCATTGAAGGCTGTGTAACCTGGGAAGCGGAGGGGGCAGTGAGGAAGCAGTGGGGCTCCAGGACGTTAACCCCTACCCCAACCAGGGCCCCGGCCCGCCCCAGGCCCCACCCCTCGAGGGTCCAAACTGTCCCCTGGGCCCAGATCCTTGTCCATGGACCCGCTCCCATCCCCACCCTCTGAGTCCACACACGGCCAAGCCTACTGCGACCTGCTCCCAGTCCAGAACCTCTCAAACCCAACCTGGCACCGCCTTCCCTGATTGCAGGCCCGCCCCGGCCCCGCCCCGCCCCGCCTTGCCCCTTCCCCTGTCTCACCCACGGCCAGGCCAGGGTCGCTGTTCATTGTCTGCACGATCTCCATCCCCTGACGGGGTCAAAGAAAAAAGGGTCTCAGGCCGGCCGTGGGGGCCCCCGGCTCCCGGTCTCCAGGTTAGACCCTGCTGCGAGGGTCCTGGGCCCCGCCCCCACCTGGTTGAGCACCACCCAGTTGGGGTCTATCTGCGCGTCGCCCTCGGGGTCCAGCACGACTGTCTGGAAGGCCCGGAAGTCAGTGAGGGTGACTTCGGCGTTCTCCGGACACACATCGATCTTGTCCACCACCTGGTCGGCGTCGAAGTCGCCCTGGCACACGTCGCCGACGCCGTCCCCTAAGAGATTGGAGACCCCGCCCGGGCGGTGGCGTTAGCGCCAGGCTACGCCCCAGGCCTATCCACGCCCCCATGAGGCCCCGCCCCCACGTGCCCCTGCTCCCTCCACGCCCACCCTAAACCCTGTCCCTGTGGCGGCGACACTGGCCCGGCCCCACACAAGGCCCTGCCCCCTGCCTTACGATCCTTGTCTTCCTGGCCTGGGTTGGGCACCAAGCGGCAGTTGTCCCGTCTGTCGGGGACTCCATCGTTGTCGTCGTCCTCGTCGCAGGCGTCACCCTGGCCATCGTGGTCCGAGTCCTGCTGGGCGCTGTTGGGCACGGTGGGGCAGTTGTCCCTCGAGTCCTGGTGCCCATCCCCATCCCTGGATGGGCGAGCGGGACAGTGACGATGAGCTCTCCAGAGGGTGGCGTCAGGGCTGCCCACTCGAGTCCCCGCCCGCACCCCAGATGCCTCCTTACTGGTCTTGGTCGCTGTCACAAGCATCTCCCACGAAGTCGTGGTCCACATCCCCCTGGGGGGTGGGGCAGGGAGGACGCAGGGATCCAGGATCAGGGCAGTGGAATTCAGAAGCCTTCCACTTACCCCAGTTCGAGCCAAGGTCCTCCGGACGCCGAGGAGCGCCCCCCAAGCCGGCCGGGGCTCTCCGGGGAGTCGGACCTGCCGGGGCCGGCCTGCGCTCACCTGGTCCGGGTTGCTCTTCTGGGGGCAGTTGTCGCAGGCATCCCCTACACCATCGCCATCACTGTCCTTCTGGTCTGAATTGGGCACCCGGGGGCAGTTGTCCACCGTGTTGCGGATCCCTGTGGGAAACAGGGGGACAGATCAGGATCCCCAGATGGGGGCTGGGCCTGGCTGACCTCAGGAGGGTAGGTGCAGACCTGGGGCTGGCCCACCGCCATACAGAGTTCAACCCTTCCCTTCGGCTCCCAAAAGCTACTAAGTTAAACCAAGTACTCGTGCTGGCGCCCGAGCGTTGTAGAGGCTTCATGAACGGACGTCCACATTCTTTTCGCCCTAGGCGAGCTCACTTCCTGGGCTTTCCAAACCCGCCGAGCCCCGCCCCCGGCCAAGCTCTGCCCCTCGCCCCTGCCCCCTGCCTCAGTGCTCACGATCTCCGTCGATGTCGTCGTCGCAGGCGTCGCCTTTGCCGTCCCGATCTGTGTCCTTTTGGTCGTCGTTCTTCTGGGACCGGCAGTTGTCGCAAGCATCGCCCCATTTGTCGCTGTCCGCATTGCGCTGGTCTGGGTTCCGCACCAGGGGACAGTTGTCCTGGTGGGGGACAGGTCAGGTTAAGGGGGAAGAGTCAGGCCTGGAGGGGTTAAGGTCACTCCGCAGACCAGCCTACCTCTGAGGCCCCCTCATACCTCCAGGACCCGCGAGTCCAGCCTCTGAGGCCATACCCCTCTCCCAAGCCACGCCCTACCCAGCCTCGCCCAGGACCCACCGCCTCGTTGGGGACGCCGTCCCCATCTGCATCCAGATCACAGGCGTCTCCGATGCCATCGCGATCCACATCCTCCTGCCCTGAGTTGGGCACCGTCACGCAGTTGTCCTAGGGGTGGGCACAGTGGGCATGAGGGGCATGGCCATGGAGCCCCGTCCACCACCGCACAGGCCACGCCCTCCGGGCCCCTGCCCACCTTGCGGCACTGGCGCTCAGAGCAACGCAGCTTCTCGTCCGGGAAGCCGTCCAAGTCTGTGTCTCGGCCGCAGAGGAGCCCGTTGCCTGCCCAGCCGACGGCGCACTGCGGAGGAGTTAGTGAGTGGGTGCCTCGGCCTGATTGCTTCCCTGCCCGCATCCCCATCCCACGCCCCTCCTGGTCCGCCCGCGCTCACCACGCAGGATCGTGAGCCGTCGCGTTCCAGGATGCAGTCAGCCTTCTCATGGCACGGGCTGGGCGTGCCGTCGGGGCAGAAGCGCTGCGCGCGGGGACGGCAGCCAGATGCCTGGTCGCCAACGAAGCCGGGCTGGCACGGGCCGCACTGGAAGGAGCCCTGCGCCCAGGGCCGCGAGCGGTCAGTCTGGCCCTCCTGCTGCTGCGCACCCCCTAACCCTCCACCTTTCTTCCTGGGCCTTACCAGAGTGTTGATGCACACGGAGTTCGGGACGCAATTATGCTGTCCTGTCTCAC